AACAGTTTTAATGTGACTGTTGAAACTCAGGTCAGAGTCCATGACTACACCTAGATTTCTGGCTTTATCTGTTGTTTTGAACATTGCACACTGAAGCTCAGTGCTAACTTTTATACGTTCTGACTTGGCTCCAAAAACCATTACCTCAGTTTTATCTTTGTTTAATTGGAGAAAGTTCTGACACATCCAGTCATTGATTTGTTCAATGCACTTACTCAGTGTTTGAATTGGAGCATAGTCTCCTGGTGAAATTGTTACGTACATTTGTGTGTCATCTGCATAGCTATGGTAACTTATTTTGTTGTTTTTCATTATCTGAGCCAGTGGTAGCATGTAGATGTTAAAGAGAAGAGGCCCCAAGATGGAGCCTTGAGGAACCCCACATGTCATATTTGTCAACTCAGATGTGTATTTACCTATAGAAACAAAGTTGTTTCTGTCCTTTAAGTAGGATTCAAACCAATTCAGAACTGTTTCCGAAAGTCCCACCCAGTTTTCCAGTCGGTCTAGTAATATGCTGTGGTCAACAGTGTCAAACGCAGCACTGAGATCTAATAATACTAACACTGAAGTTCTGCCACTGTCTGTGTTTAAGTGGATGTCATTAAAGACCTTTACAAGAGCAGTCTCAGTGCTGTGGTGTGGACGAAAGCCTGACTGGAACACATCGAAACAGTTATTTAAATGCAAGAAATTACTCAACTGTTGAAAAACAACTTTTTCAATGATTTTACCTAGAAATGGCAGGTTTGATATGGGCCTGTAATTGTTCATTACTGAAGCATCTAGATTATTCAAAGGGGACTTTACTACTCCAAATGTTGAGATGAAGAGCAGACAATGTAATTTTCTTGACAGAAACATGGTGTCACTCACCTCAGAGTATAATAACAAGAGAACACTGATACATGCCTTAGCTGATGTGCTGATTCAACGACACAAACATTTAAAACCTCACTTCAGTAAAAATGCATAATTATTATCTGCAAAACGTTGGTAAAATCCTGCAAAAAGATCGTCCCTGTCAGGTCTTCACTAACAAATTGTTTATTTATCTTGAGAAGTAGGAACATTTCTCAACCCATTAACGGACACTAAACAATTAATCAAAACTCAGATTTAAAATCACCTAATTATGGTATGGATAGAGGTTAGGGTTACTACAAATTGTACAGTATATCTAAAAATAAGTCACTAAAGCTGTCAGAAAAATGTAACTGAGTAAAAATTAAAATATTTACCTGTGAGATGATTTAGAAAAGTATAAAGATGCATAGGATGGAAATAAAAAAGTACTTTTATTTTATACTTAAGTGTATTGTTGTTAAAGTATGGTGCACTATTCTGTCACCAGAGTCAGAACTAAACATGGAGAAGCAGCGTTCAGTTTTATATTCCACATCTGGAACAAACTGCCTGAACATGCCGGTCCGCTGCAATCTTACTACTTTTAAATTCAGGCTGAAGATTTTTCTTTTTGCTGCTGCTTTTAATTGAACTATTCATATATTACACTGCAAATTTTGTTTATGTATTTTATATCTGTGTTGTTTTATATTAGCTTGTTTATGTTTTTGTAAAGCACTTGCATTACCTTGTGTTGAAAGGTGCTATATAAATAAACTTGCCTTGCACAAAAAACACGATAAATCGCTTATATTTTACAATTAGTGAAGTAACTATGCTGCTGCAAAGCTATTAAAAAACAAAAACAAAAGAAACAATGAGATGGTGTGAACAGTCCCCAAAATTGTACATGTTATCTTGTGCAAATAAACCTTTCTCTTTCCAAAAGTGGTGGGGACATGTCCCCAGCGTCCCCAGTATAAATTACGCCTATGGCTAAATGTAATGATTGCTACAGCTTTAGGGAGGCAGCTGCAGACTCTCTCCTCACCCGTGCGCTGCAGCTGTCCTTGAGGCGTGCAGCCAGTGCAGGTCCATGTCGTCCAGGTCATAGCGGCACATGTTCCTTGATGTTCCTTAATATAAGGCTCCGTGGGCTCCTGACTCGAGCTCTGGGTGAACTTCCTCTGGAGCGTGAACAGCAGCTCTTTGGGATTCTCCACAACCACTCTGAACACAGGAAAAAAAACACAGGGATTTTAGCCTTTGCAGACCGTTTACATGCACAAAAAACTATAGAACAAGAAAGGGAAAACTCCAGAAAGCAAAACAACGGCCTCTCTTAAGCATTTCCACTGATGTCAGTAAATGTTGCGTTCAGACAGAGCTACCTAACGGAGGGCTGAGGGGTGGTGTCGGGGCTGGCCAGCACGCACCCCCTTCTCCCACTGCCCGACTCGCACCACTGAGACGTCAGACGTGGTGCGAGTCGGGCAGCTTCATGGCGCTGATCAGGTATTTTCTGAACACCTGAGGGGGGGAGAGGACCACAATCAGACATTAGAAATACATGTTTATTCAGTCCTGTGTTTATTGACTTCTGTTGGGAAAATACTGAATATATCCAATATCAGAGTAGCACATGATAACAAAGGCCCTACGTAGCTGTGTACATGACAGGATGTATGATCACCTAGAAGAGCGTCAGGACACACTGTTTTAGGAATATGATAGCTATGTGACAATGATGAACATGATGATTCAGCCTCTGGAGATAGACATAGACAAGCATGATCATTTCTGACATGGGTCTTAGCTAATATAAACCATGGGCGTCGCAGCCATTATATGAGGGTGGGACAAGTCCCCCCCACCTTTTAAAATGATTAGTTTAGACCCCCCCCCACACACACACACACACTTTTACCATGTGGAAAGTCCGTGCATCGGTCTATCCACTCGCCACTATTTGTAGAGCGCTGTGTCAGTGCTGCATTATCAAATCCATCCCCTTTGCTTATTGTGAGAATGCCTAAATAAATGAAATTCCGTACCATGTTTTCACTGCTACTTTGTACCAAGGCAGATTCTCAGAGCCGTACACATGAGCCGTACACATGCTGCGTTTTTTATGTAGCTGTGTCTTGAGTTGTAAAATTATGCGCGCCACAGTTTCCCCGCCGCGAGGTTCCGACGCTGTTCATGTGCGTGCTCCACTAGCACCCGGATATAAGGCACTGTTATTAAAGAGGTGGAGGGAGAGTCATCTCCTGTCAGACTGAGAGGCTGATAACTACAGCTCAGTGAGGTAAAGGACTCTCTGAGGGTTTAGATCAGGGGTGCCCACACTTTTTAAGCTTGGGAGCTACTTTTAAAGTGTCCAAGTGCCCTGTGTGTCGCGTGCGGGGGGGGGGGGGGGTTGGAAATTGGAAGGCTAACTAGGTAATCAGGTCGCTGGTGATTTGCAGCTGGCGTGGTTGACCGCGCATACATGGTGAACTGCGTGTTAGAAAATATGAGATTTCAGACTGGCTTCCCTGTACGGCAATCAAGTGGCACATGCCATAATAAGGATGGATGATAGGCTAATTTTTATTTATTTTTTTCAATGCCATGCGATCTACCCACACTACCTTCGCGATCGATCTACGTATTGGGCACCCCTGGTTTAGATAGTTCCCTTTAGTCTAAGTAGTGGGTCTCAAACGGTTTGGTAATCATTTATGTAAGTATTTCCAAGGCACACCTTTATATGATCATTATAGTTATAAAAAATAAGAGAAGAACAGGTATGAAATAATTAACTCATAGTAACACAAAAATACAGTTTAAAAGGGGAGTGATGGGTGTTGAGAGTTGTATCCATAGATTTAGTCCCTAATTTTGCTCTCAAAGTGCAGCAGATTAATGCATTTAACTTCAACATTTAAAAAATCATCTTCCCGGGGGAGCATGCCCCCAGACCCCCTAGAGGAGGTGAGGTCCACCACCTGCCCACACCCCCTGTCAAATTGTCCCACCCACATTGAGGATGCTTCCTACGCCCATGATATAAACTAAACATTGTACTGCTTTGAACCGGTATTCCTGCATCTTGTGACTGAATACACGCTCTCTATAAGCATGCGAAGGACACTATTCGGGAACCTATAGTTGTACCAAATTCGCTTATGTGATGACTACTTCCATTCTTATCTTACTATATTTATATTATCTTACTATATTTTTCTATTACAGTGTTCTTAATATAGAGATTTATAAATCTGTGTTGTTTTTTACATTAATTTTTTTATGTAGGCACCACGACACCTAGTCAAATTCCTCGTTGGCTACGTGTGAACCTGGCAATAAACCTGTTTCTGATTCTGAACTATTATAGTTAGGATAATAAATACATGTTTCCTGATTATTTAAGCTCAAGCCGGTGATGAGTGATATTTTTCTAACAACTTCTGTTGGTTTTAAGTGTTTTTGATCAATCACAAAGTTAAGTGTTACTGCCGTTAGCATTTAGCATACAGCTATACTTTTAAAAATAAACGTACTTCAGCCGGTTTCTTGGGGGAGGGGGTTTCAGGTTTGCAGAAAAAGGTACCTAAAGAAAGAGTGTGTGAATAAAAGCGCAGCAGAAATAAAAATAACTTGTTTATGTTATGTGTTTAACACATTAGACAGAATATACTTACTCTCATTGTCAGAACTGTCTGCTGGAGGAATGGAAACGTTTCATCCTGTAACATCCTGATGAAGAGGAGGAAAAACATGTCAATGTAAGTTTTATTGGGGAAAAAAAATCGTATTTTTATGATTATCAGGATAATTTTGATAGGGAAGCTTCCTGTAGGTTTCCGTTAACATACAGTCACTGTTGGGGGCTGTTTGCCCATTCCACCTTAGGAGGGTTTTTGGCAGGGTTGTCAATTACGGCGATTACAATAGGGTCTTCGCCGACCTCTGGTCTCAGACCCTAATAACAGCTGTTGTTCCCAGACCTCATCTTTTGCACACTCGTTTCTTTGAGGTACAAACATTCATCCATGCATTATTAGTTTATGAAAGCCTGTGTAACACAACCACTGTTTGTGCATCTTAATTGAAACATGTCACATCCTACAAAAACACAACAGAGGAACAGATTATATGTCTGTATTTATTTTCATCAGAACACAATTTTAATCATTGTAGCAGTAGTTTTCAATACTTTTTGAAAAGATCATGACTTGTGAGACTTTTATAAATCATTTCATCAAAGTTGTTTGTAAAAAAATTAAAGAAGTTACTTGAACTAAAGCATCTATAATATTACAATATACTGGTAGTATAGTAGTAATCATAATAATCATAATCGCAATGATACTTCTATATGACTTTAAACCTTTTTCATTTCTATAATCATAAATCTTTCACACACACAGAACCACAACCTTTCACAATAAGGTCGCGAAGCTGAGGACGAGTCTATTGGGTAAACCTCACCACATTCTCTTTTAACATCAATGATTTCAGACGCGCCAAAGTAAAAAATTAAAATAGAAGAAGAAGAGAAAGAAGAAAGAAACAGCATGACATGAACTAAAATAAAAATACACAAGGAAACCTGGACGCAAAGACATAGTGTTCAGCATACTAGGGAACATATTTACAACCAAAAAGGAATGGGCTTCTGCATAGATCCACAGGATAGAGAACTGAACTATTGTGAAAACAGAGAGAGGCTGAGAGGAAGTGAAGAGGGCAATATTTGTGTACATACCATTTGTGTGGTGGGTGCACAGGAGGTAAGGGGCAAGAGGCATACATAGTCTATATGTGCAGGGGAAAAACACAAATGTAGTTTTTGTAGTGTTGTGAAATATGACAGACCATACCCCACGACTGCTACAGACCACTGTTAGGGATGTAGATTGAATCGATAGGACCCTACACAGTTTCTTCTCAGTATAGTGCAGTAAAAAGTAAAACACACTAGAAATGATATTAACACAGCAGAGTAACTGTTGCGTGCATGCCTGCATTACCAACCAAAGTCATCAAAGATTTACATCAGTCAAATCTAATTTTATTGTCTGGAAGAAACTTTGAAGTGGCATGAAGGACACCACAGCAATCACACCCATGCAACCACAGCCAGGATGGTTTCTGCATGTAAAGCAGAAATGAGTTATTACTATGAATATGTCCAGCATTTGGTTTGTGATGGCTGTTGCATCACAGCATGAACTGCTGACATGGGAGGCAGAATGAAATCACATTTATGTCATAAATAGATCCCTTACACATGTTAATGGTGAGTGTGGTTGAGGCTTATGAAATGCAATCCGTTTATTGCTAACATGGCACATTTGTCTAACACTGACTGACCCTATTTGTCCTCCTGTTGTCCAGTGTGTTTGATCATGAACATTCTAGTGTCATATCAGATCTAAATTTGGTTTATTTGACTTGATAGGCTTTGGCACCAGTTTCAGTTCATTGCAGTATCTCATTTCAGAAAAGGGTGTTGGGATATATTCTGAAGGGCATGTGAAAGGAAACAAATAGATACACCCGTACCTTGGTCAGTTTGGGGTCTTAGGCGCTAACACATTTATTTGACATTGTATATTACAATGAATTTATACTAAAGTCCAGACGGTTTAAAGGCTGCAGTGAATAATGAGTTGACTAATGCAGCAGGTGCCTGTAAAGACAGTGGTGGTTTGCCACACCTGTCCCTAAGGCCCCAAGGTCATAGCAGAGCTAATAAGCTCTCCAAAGATCACACAGCAATTAGCAACAGACACAAACACACATTTTTTCATACACACACTCCACACACATGCACGCGGACACACATCCACAAACATGGACCCATCACCTTTTCCACCAGAGCTCAGGCTTCCTGACTCCTGTGTGTATGAACGTCCTTGTGTGACAGGTCTTCGGCAGCGGCAATATAATATAATAAAATATATGTCTATCTACTGGTGACCAATAGAGTAGCAGCATTTTTCTATCACCGACTGCGGCCGTCTGAGATGGGCATGGGTGTGCTGTGCTGAATGACAATGATTTGTTAGGTTTTTCATGCAAGCTGGAGTGGTAATGTTCAGAGTGGGGCAGGGTCCAAACACAAAAAAAGGTACAGCGTCAACATAATCCAATACACTGGTTATTTAGACATGTTGTGAATAAAGATGCATTTTTGAAAATCCTCATATAAGCTGTATAATAAAGTTCTTGACATCAGATATCAGATTGGACATCTCATTTGAGTAATCAACTTACTTAAGAGTGGAAAAATGCATCAAACAACATCTGTTTATCTTTGATTACCTGATCTCATAGCCTTGTTCATCAAAGGAAAAACAATCTTGAAACTAAAAAGAAGTCAGCCCTTAAAGTCACACCATTCCTTTCTGTTCACACGCTGGTCAACATTTAGAAAATAAACACAAGTATCAGTTTACTATTATCCAGTTATTCCAATAGTGCTTAAACAAACACACTCCTCTCTGGTTTGTTTCTGTTCTGCAGCAGCGGCCTGTGGAGTGCCTCGGTACTTCAGGTACACACGTTTAAAAGAAACAGGAAATTAGCCATTTCTCACCCTCTGTCTGCTAAAATTTTAATGTGAATGTTGATTATAATGTGTTGTACTGTTTATCTTAATAAGCCCTTTACTTAATGAGACATTAGTTTGATGTTTTTAGGAGAAAGTATGTGACAGTGGGCATGCTACAGGAGCTGATTTGGGATAAGATGTGGAGTGCGGAGGGGGGACAATAAACAAAAGAGGCTGTCGTACTCTTGCTCCACATGCAGTTTGTTAACATCCATTACACATTTAGATTCAACAGTTGAAGCAGTTGTCCCTGTGTTGGTGATATGTAGGCCTACCTATTGTATTATGGACAGGGGATTTTCCTTCACATAACTGCATGCTACCTTTCCCAGGGACACATTTTATTTTCATCCTATTTGCATGGGAGTTCCAGATATATATATATATATATATATATATATATAATTATAACTGGAATATAACCATTATAGTACTTAAAGGCAACATCCAGTCATTATGATTCCTGTGAATGAGAAAGCTTGAGGATAAAATGAAACCACCAGAATTGGTTCGAGGGCAAACAGTACATTTAGTCTTTTTAAAGCAGTGTTAACAGGAAAAACGTATTTCTGCTTTAACTGCTGGTTACAGCAGGCCGAAGGGCAACAAATAAGTCTTTAGAGACAGAAAGACAATTTAGTAATTATTTATGCTGTGGATAATTATTTTGACTGGATAATACCTTTTCAAATCTAAAATAACACAAGCTTCTTTGTCAAGAACAACAGGATATCGTATATATTGATCCAGTGATATCTTTTTGATGTCAATAAACTCTGCTGAGAAATGTTATGTGACCACAATCTGAATGGGGTTTTAGTAAAAGGCCTAAAATAAAAGCTTTGGATAAGACAAGCTTAAAAGAGATTCATGTTTTCTATATGAAATAAAAATAATCCCATCTGTGTTTTATTTTATTTGTATTTGATTAACTTCCTGTCCAGTGATTAAACAGGGTTGCTAACAAGTGGCTAAGTACTGTTTCATCTCAACTATTATTAAAAGGAAATTAAACTACAATTACCATAACCAATGTAAAGATTCCCTCCTAACTTTGACATTATATTGACTCAAAGCATTTTTGGCATCTCATTGCATGCTTTTCTATCTTCATTCAAAACACAGCAGAATGCAACCTGAGATGTTTATATTCATATTTCTTATATTACACATATATATTAATATCGTTTTTTATTTACAAATTGTAATGATGTAACTTTGTTTATTTGGCTCAGCCCTATTGTAGTGTTGGCCTTAAGGTTTAATGATCACTCTGGTTTAATACGTCTTGGATGTTACTTTTATAATTTTGGCTGTCAGTTTTATTGATAATGATCACATTTTACACATCAAGTTATTGCTGAGATCTGTCAACACGTCCTTATAATGAGTCCACAAGAGGTCAGATGACACATACTTAGCATATATTATGCTTATTATATATTAAGATATCAGTTTAGCAAGATTAATGTATTTGACATAAAAACAGAAAGTGAGATATCGTTTGTGATGCTGAAGGAATGCATCCTGGTCGGTTGTGACGTCTTGCATATTTCAGGGTTAACTTTTTCATTGCTTTGGATCTTTTAAAATGTTGTTAATAGGTACATATTATCTCACGATTCATCCTAGTGTAGGAAAACTGTAAACCTTACAAACCCCAGAACTCATTCAGAAGCACATTTTAATCCCATTTTCCCAGTGATTGTGGCCAACACACCAGCACAGCAGAGCTAAGTGACATCTGAAAGGGAGTTGGGGGGGGGGGGCATCTTTGCCACATCAGCCTTTTAACTCGCCTTTTATGATACTTGTCACCAACACACACTCATCCTCACCTGCACACACATTCACACGTGTAAAGACATACAAGTACACCCATGCACACTCGCACACAGTTCAGAAACGCATATCAATCGCAAAGAAACTCGCAGCTAATTATTATTTTAACGTATTATCTGTCTTATTTAGAGAACACATGTTCTTCCTGTATGAGAGAACCAGAAATAAAACTCAAAAAGGATGAACATTAGAAAGAGAATATGATTGTGTTATCCCTTAGTCAGCCAGTGCAACAGAAACCAATAATTGGAACACAGTGTAAAAAAGCGTAGTGAGAGAAACTCAGCCATGGGGAAGCCGGCCTTCCCACTCAACAAAGGCTGTGGCATTGTCCCCTTTCTACCTAAGGGACTGTTGGAGTCCCTTAGTGTGTCTGTTTGTTTTCTTATTTATTTGTTGATTGAATTGTGTGTCTTTCGTCTCCAAGCGTCCCACATTTTCCATTTGCCAGAAAGCGTTGCAGAGTGTCCACAGGCACACAGCTCCAGCCCATCGCACAACTGTGGCTGTATTTTTCCACATTGGTTGCCATGGTGAGGGATTCCCCCACCCGGACAACCTCACCTCCTCCTGGCAGCTCTATCACTCCTCATTGGCAGGGCTCTCCTCCAGAGGCGTGATGGTGGGGAGGCCCAGTCCTGTTGCATTGTGGGATGCAGTGAGGCTGGCAACAGTGTGTAGGAGGACAAGGACCAGCAGGCAGAGTTTGAGCCGGCTGTTACACAGTCTGCAGGCTGCCGATGAGCTGAGGGAGGTTCGGTGCTGGCATGGCGGGTGAGTTCTTTTCAGCGTCCCCCGGGAACGGTTGTCCACTTTCAAGTCCCACCGCACGTCGCAGCACTTTGCATTCGGGTCAACACCTGATGGGTAGTCCTCCAGCAGCCCTGGGGGTTGTTTGAGGGGAAAACAGATCACAGTGAGATTAAGTCCTTTGAAATTCAACCATTTTTAAACTAGCCAAGAAGAGAGCTCAGTGCACCAGAATGTAGAAAATGTAAGCAAATGGAGAAAAAACACAAGAATAAACATTGTTACCCAACTTTCCAACACAAAAAAAGTGTTCCTTAAAAATCTGTTTTATGCTTTTCTTAATTTGCTTGTATTTAATTTTTTGAAGCTGGAGCTGAAGCAATAATTCAAACTAGTCAAATGACAGAAACTACAGAGAATACTATTGATAGTAAATAATACTTTCTCTCAAAAATGCAAAATACTAAAGCTCCTAAAATATCAACATTTGCTGTTTTGTTTTTTTGTTTTTTCCGATAAAAAGTTATGTCTTTGGGAGTTGGGGTCGGGAAAAAAACAAACTTACACACTGGTAAGGTTTAGATAATTTCTTAATAAAAACAAGCCTCATCCTTCAAAATTCTAAAATGGACCAAAGCAGCATTGTTAATATATCAGCCCAAATGATAACAAGAAAAACGGACAAAAACAAAAATCACACTATTTGTATTAGCTTATGCCAAACTGTACATTTAGGTAACCTGATGCTCAACATGACCACCATGGGGCAGCATTACCTTTGTGATGTGACTGAGTGTCTCAGTATGTTCTGGATGAAAAAGAAATCTCACAGTCAGTAACACTGCCCCCACTCACCTTCCATGTATGAGGAGAACAACATCTGGTTTAGGTTAACCATATATTTAGCATTCAGCTTTGTGTATGCATGTGTGTGTTTCCACTGCTGCAAACATTATTTCATTGCATTGAATTGCATTCTCTCAAACTGCTCAGTTGTGCAGCTGCCTCTTGGTGCTGTCAGTAATTGGCCACCATGTTGTGGTGTGGTGTAACACCGTGCTTTCTGGTTATTAAACAGAACATCCTGTAACTGTAAAGTCACGAGTGTTTGCTGTGTGGCCATCAGAGGTTGGGTATGCTCACTGTGTGTGTGTGTGTGTGTGTGTGTGTGTGTGTGTGTGTGTGTGTGTGTGGTGTGTGTGTGGGTGCGTGTGTGTGTGTGTGTGTGTGGTGTGTGTGTGCGTGTGTGTGTGCGTGTGTTTGTGTGTGTGGTGTGTGTGTGTGTGTTATATCAAGAGATTGAGGTTAAATAAGCATGTTACTAGTAGTTAAAAGTCCACTATTTAGGGAGGTAATGCCGTTTTTATCCAGAGAGTTGTTCAGTACTTTACTAGGCAGCTGCATGTACAGTAGGCCTACTTATCTTAAAACTATGGTTAAACAAACCAATGAGCTTAAATCAGTCGAAATAATCCATAAACTGTAAGACTTTCTTTTACCTGTGCATATAAAACTTGGGCTGCCTCCATGAATGAGATCATCATTGTCAGGCAGGACGAAGGGGCACCGCTGCTGCACCTCCAGGCAGTACTGACCACAGGGGATTGGCTTACTGCAATGCATCTGGGTGGTCTGGAAGTACTGAGAACACAGCCAGGGCTTATAAACCATCTAGTTGGGAGACATAGAGGTGAGAGCAGGGGGGAGAGGAAGACAGGTGGAAGGGGTGCAGAGATAGGAAATTGAAGAATTAGGGAGGGTTGCATTGGATGATGATACGCATGCACACACTCACATGTAAATCAACCATGACCTCAACAGCCATTGATTCTCACAGGACTGATCAGATATCCTGGTGATCCTGAATTTCACTGTTTAATGAATGTGGATGTTGCTGGGCTATCATCACTTTGACAGTCAATATATACAGTTAGACCCTCTCACAACGACTCGCACATTTCATGTTTACTTTGTCTTGCACAGGATTCTGAATAGGATTTATTATCTTCAGGTGTTTCACTATGCCCACAAATCAATAGTAAAATCAAATTCAACTATAACTTATAATTGAATGGGTCTGAATTGAATTCACCTTTCACTACCAAATTGAAAACTATTTTATACAATTTCAACAATCTAAATAATGAATGGTATCAGGGCCTGTATTATGTCATGTTGATTTTGTCTGTGTTCATTTCATAATTTTTTCTCACCCATGTTCTCAACTCTATAAGTGCACAAGTGGGGACAAATTATTTACTTCGCACCTATTTTTTTTCTCAATGTGATAAGCTATTTGCATCATGCAGTATTATCACCTGCAGCAATAAACTGGCATTTCCTGTGAAACTCTCCAGGGACTCCTAGTCAAGCTAGCACCTGCTATTAGCTAATCATCACGCCTAAAACAGTGCATCAAACCATAGGTCACATAACTCCCTGCATACGCACTGTAAGTGAGGAATACAAACTGTTCATAAATGTATAAACAGATGTTCGTAATAATTCATATGTAATATTTAATTAACATAATCCATATTCATGTTCATGTATTGTATGCAATAAATGCTCGTACAAATTAATGTGAGCTTCGTATGGATGAATCAGAATCTCTTACATGAAATAAGAGCATTACACAAGCACACCAAATCGAATGATTTTCATTACAAGTCCGAAATATATTCCCTATACAGGGAACAAAAAAATACTTTATGAATGTACACAACAAAAGGTTGCTTTGAACTGAGCTAAAAACACATCTGTAAATGTTGACGCAATCTAGCCAAGATGTAAAGCAGAGGACAGGGGAAGAACACATTGATGGTACAGAGTGAATTGTACATCCTTTATAGTGAATAACAGACATTGCAGGCTATGTTTTATGACAGAGGTTATAATGATAATGATGTTTGGACTTCATCAAACATAATTAGTAGGTTTCATATTAAAATATTTTTCCTGAACAATGGAGGAGTTAACAATGGTGGATGATGAGGGATATAAACCGCCTTCGTTTAATCCTGGCAAAAAGGTTTCAAATTATACAATATGTGATAAAAAACAAGTTTAAAAAAGAGGATGCATTATGAAACTATTCTTAGAAATGGTGTACTGTAAGTTTACATGTTGTCATAATAAAGAGATTGCTTGACTATTGTCTTTATTGTAAAAAGGTTCCTATTGTCTGCCACTCAAATATCCCTTGGGCTTATAATGGCCATACTGAGATGTCCTTTTGTAGCATCTGTAATGATATAATGCATTGTATCATCTAAATATTGCTCCAACAATAACATGACTGTTCGGGATGAATCATCTGTCATGCTTATTGCCGACTGAGAGCCATGTATTATATGCATGACCGAACATGTGCACATACGGACTTCCTGCACACATGCACAGAGTCTGTACAGTAAATTGCTCTGCGCTAATAATTTGATTTGCAGTCGAAGATAAGGTGGGTTTCTGTGGACACCACTCACACACACACACACACACACACACACACACACACACACACACACACACACACCCCACACACACACACACACACACACACACACCACACACACACACACACCACACATAAATACACACTGCCCTCTCGCTAATCTACCACTGTATAAATGTCACAAATGAAAATGTGTAACATGACATCATTTGACATCTTGTCCATTCAACAGTAGATGGATATTCTAAATGATTTACACACTGTGCGTCTGTGTATGTTTGAGTATCAGTGTCCGTGTACGTGTGAAAGTACACAGCAGTCTTTTGCAATATATTTTCCACATCAAGTCCTCGTGTTTCCAGTGCTGTGGATCCTTTAGCTGTCAGCATGGGGACATAAGGACGAACTGGGGTAGATTCTGCAACGTTACACCAACAATGTCACTGGCAATGAGTGACAAGTAGAGTCTGTTTTAGTATTTATCAGACATTTTCCCTACTCAGCAGAATCTCAGAAAACAATGTTGAAGTCAAGGTCTATTTGGTTGCTCTTAAGCTCAGGCATGAATAACAAATTCAAAAACTGAACAATATAATAAAACAAAAGAGATTAACTTTAAACTTCTCCTCAAGGAGGTTAGCCTGACTTTAGCATAACAGAAAAGGTCTTGTGTGAGAGGCAAACATTTTCCATCCGCTTTTCCATTCCCTTTCATCCGAATTCATGTCAGTGTTTAGTAAAGCTTATTTTCAAGGACAAAGAACTACAGTCGGTTTGATCTAGGTGACACTTTCACCATGCAACTTGAACAAACTAGCATTCCATAACCGGCAAGTCAGCAGAACATGTCTGAACTGCAACAGATGTGGGGAAGAAACCATGTCTTTTTTTGGCCCCTTTGCACTCATTTTCATGTTAGTAGTGCCCACTGGCTGCGGCTGCATGCACACTGAAGACTGTACTGTTGACCCATGACTAGTTATCTATCATCCTGCTGTCAAATCCCAGAGGAGGAGAAAGAGATATGGAGCGAGAGAGATACGAGGAGTGGCATTATAGAGATAGTGGTAGGATGGACTCTTTCTCTCCTTTATATAACAATATAACAATCTGATGTGTACTCTCGACCGCCTTGGGGAGACGGCAAAATACTGCTTTCTCCTCAGCGAGTTAGAGGTCGGCCAGCTGGCTCTCAAAACTTTATTCTCCTTTTTTCTGTTACCTTTCACTACCTTTAACATCTCCCACTTGCTGTTGCTGTCTGAACTCCTCCCCCTCCTGTTTTGTGTCATCGTTCCCATGGAGGGTGTGACTGCGGCACAGTGTCCCAAAACCCACCTCATTGTTTGATTTGCTAGTGATGCTTTTACCGTAAATTCTCAAATGGAAGCACACGTGAAAAAAATAAATATATTTTCATCACTGTTGGCAAACATCAATGTGATACAGTGGATCGCAACACTGATTTATTAATTGAGTATTTATCAATAAATAGTGCACAATAATTAACATAAGTATGACATCACATCAGTATGACATTGCATTACATTACATGTTACTTGTTAGACGCTTTTATCCAAAGCGACTTACATGACAGCATAGTCACATGATAATCTCTGGTCTATCTTTTATTTCTTGATATGTCCATCCTTTCTCTGCATTTGTATGCACATTGCGTCAGATAACAGCAAAGTGGGTTGTACATGTAATGCATAGAAATGAATAGATTTAATGTAAATACTTGCATAGGGGGAAATGAAGATAAACAAATGTATAAGCACAGTTGGACTTTAGGGTTAAATGTTTCAAGTGCCTTAGTTGGGTCACAAAACCCAATTTCCAATGCTTTAGTTCAGTTATAGTCTTTTAATTTGTTTTGTAAAGCACTTTGAATTGTTGCGTACAGAAAAGTGCTATATAAATAAACTTGCCTTGCCTTGCCTTGCCTTACAATCTCTTTGAAAAACACAGATATATCTATAGGTGGCATGAACGCAATCAAAATCAACGGAAACAATACAGTGGATAGGAACAGATGCATGTTTGCTTTAGGCATTTTAGGTGAAAACACATTTGCTAAAGGGCGAAAATTACAACCAAAACTTCAACGAATATTTGTTGCTGTCTGAATTGTGTGACGACATGAATATACAAAGACCACAGACCTGCATAAAGATAGATATCAGCTGATAAAGGGGGGCGGAGTGGTTGTTCACCAATAGGGAGGATGGAGTTTCGATCCCCGGGCCCCTGCGGCCAACTTGTCGAAGTAGTGGGCAAGATACTGGAACTCCAAATTGTTCCCTATGGCATAGCTGTGTGTGTGTGTGCGTGTGTGTGTGTGTGTGTGTGTGTGTGTGTGTGTGTGTGTGTTGTGTGTGTGTGGTGTGTGTGTGTGTGTGTGGTGTGTGTGCGTGTGTGTGTGGTGTGTGTGTGTTGTGTGTGTGTGTGTGGTGTGTGTGTGTGTGTGTCTGTGTGTCTGTGTTTGTGTGTGTGAAGATTTATCACTCCTTGAAAAAAGGTGAAAGCCTCTGCCTACAACTGGGTTGTAAAACCACTTGAGAAGTCGCAAAAACTAGAAAAGCACAGTATAAATGCAGTCCATAAGAGAGGGTCTTGATGAATCGTGTCTGTGTATTTTATACAATCACACACTGAGGTTGTGTTTATTGTAACAGCAAAAGTATGTTACTAAATTGCTCACTGATCATGGTTAATAGACCAAAAGGGGTCAAAGAAAGTTTGAATTTGAATATTAAAAAAAAGGACAGTTAAAATGATTTGGCAGCAATCCAGTCTGCAGCTCAACAACGCATACAATTTTGTATCTTTGTTATATTAAGTACCAATATGTTACACCATAAATCCCACTCCCCTCCTGGTTTACTTGGCTTTCTGCAGTGTTGCGACTCAGCTGTCTCGTAGATTGGATTATTTCATAACGATTAGGGTAATAAGGTTATAATTGATGGAAGGCTGATCCTGGCCTGTGGTATTGGTTTTAAGTGGCCCCGGATGGCCCTGCCTTGTCAGTGCCTCGTCTTTAATGTTTTGTCATTACTTGTGGTTGAGGCTAAACTGATGTCAAAGGCTGAGGGGAGATGGTAACAACACAACAGATTACTGAAACTCATTCCTCTTCAACATGAAGCGTAGAGAGGCACAAACATTCAAAAACTCAGTCTCATGAGCCGCCTCATCAATTACAACTAAAACAGCT